TGCTTTCCTTACTGTGTCTCCTCATGTTCATGTTTTTGGACGTTGCTAACTGTGGTCTTGCTGACACCAAAACTTTCTGCTGACAGCTCTTTAAGTTCTTTCCTTTGGGTGATCATTTCTCGATTAACTGCTAAACTTTTCAGTAACTGTAGGATGTACCTATAATTCAATCCTTCACATTGAAAAAATCTTCCCCTACACGTGATAAACAATACGATCTCAGGCCAAGTCCAACACATGGTAATAATAAAACATGATAAAAGAACTTATACTAAAGAAAAACTAATGCAACCAAAGGGCAGAGCCCACCCCTTCTACCCTAGTCAGGTTATAGAGGGTGAATTAATATTGTGTGTCACAGTCCAAGTGGGCAAGGTGCAACTTACAGAGGGGTCAATCTTCATTACAGAGGTCAGTCTTCATTGAGACATGGGGCACATGTCTAGTCCATGGAAACTAAAGCAGGTGGTCAGCTATGAGGTTCCACAATATATATTTGTGTGTATATGTATCTGTCATTGATGAAAGTGAAGAAAGCATCCTTATAATATTGATACATTCTGTTATCATGGCAAAGACTGAGAGCTGTAGGGGACTGGAAACATAACAACCATTAGAAAACTGAACTAATGCATATAACCAGTAAGCCAATAGTCATGATTAAGTAGAAATATATGCCAACACCCAAAGGTGAAAAAAAGGAACAAAGAAATGAGATAAGTAGAAAATAAACAGCAAGATGAGTGACTTAAGCTCAGCCACATTAAAAAATTAAGATAATGTACACTCTGACAACACGAATAAATAAAAAAGTAGTGCCAGCCTGTCTGTGTTGTTAACAAGAAACATACTTTAAAGAAACAGATACACAAAATACAAAATGATGAGAAAACATACACCATGCAAACTCTTATCCAAAAGAGCTATGGATACTGTAGTAGTAAAGGCCAAACTAGATGTCACAGCAAGGACCACCACCAGACACAACAAACAAGGGTCAGTTTAAGTAAAAACAGCAATTCTGAACATGTATGCAGCCGATACTGTGCTTCAATGTACATAAGGCAGGTACTGACATGACCAAAGGAGGAGCAGCCAAATCAAAGCACATGAGATCTGAAAACTCTTCCTCAGAAATTAAGAGAACAAATGGTAGAAAATAAGTAAAAACCTAAAATACGTGGACAGCAGTTTCCATTCCCTTGACTCAGTGGATATTCAGGGAACGCCTCCACAACAGCAGAACACACGTCTTCTGACGCCCAGGAGGACAGCAGCCTTGAAAGCCCACAGCACAAGTCACCACACTCACAACAGGGATGACACAGCAGCACATGTTCTGTGACCATAACAGAAGGAAGCGGCAAATAAATGACAACACACTAAAAAATAAACAAATACAGTTCCAAATAATCAAGGGGTAAAAGACCAAAAATATGAATTAGAAAATATTTTTAACTAGATGATAATGAAAATGTAGAATATCAAAACCTATATGATATAGGTTAAATAATGTGTAGAGACTTATAGCTCTGAAAGCTTATAAATAGGAAAGAATAAAGTATAAAATCAATGGTCTAATTTCTACTATAAAAAATTAAAAAAGAAAATTAAACATAAACTAGGTAGGATGAAGGCCACACGGGGCAGAGAGCAACACAGAAAATGGACAGACAGCAAGGAACTCCATGGAATCAAAACAAAGCCTTTGAAATGATCAATGAACAGACAACTCTCTGGCCAGACTGAGGAGAGAGAGAATGTAAATTACTAGTACTTGGAAAGAAAGACAGGATCTGATGACTATCAAAAAAAAAAAAACTATGACGGACTATTATAAATTTTACACCATTTATTCTGTCAGCTTACATAAAATAGAAAAAAATCTTTGAAAAAGCACAAATTTCCAATCAACAGGAATTAATTAGCTCTGTATAAGGAAATTCAATTCATAATTAAATATTTTCCCAAGTCATGGACCCGATAGTTTCAAGAGTGAATTTATTCAACACTTAAAAAAGCAGCAATACCATTCTCACGCTGATCTTAAACGAACTATTTTTTAAAAATACAGGAGGCAAAAAGATTGCCAAATTTCTTTTATATGACAGGATGCCTATCAGACTAGAGACAATAAACACTCTTTGTGAACACTGCCATAAAAAGTCCTTAACAAAGTAGGGGACTCAGCATGCCCACACAGGGTCTATCCCAGAACATGGAGTGCTGTGCCAAATACAAAAACAGCCCAGATAATTTATCATGTTAATCGATAAAGGAGAAAAGCCACAATCACTTCTATAGATAGACAAAAGCTTTTCAAAAATCCTACACCCATTCATGAGAAAACCTCTCAGCAAACTAGGAGCAGAAAGAACTTCTTGGGTCTGAGGAAGGGCATGATGTACATGGTGTAAACACCCACAGCTGTCCACACGCAAAGGCTCACCGTTTCTCCCCCCAAAACTGGAAACCAGACAAGGACGCAGGCTCCATGACTTCTATCCAGCACTGTGCTGGAGACCCCAACAAGGTCATATGCAAGTGAGAGAAGTGGAAGGCCGTACAAACACGCCGGAGTAACAGAGCTCAGGTGTCTTCTCTGCACACCACAGAGTCAGGCAGACGTAACACTCTAGGGATTCTACATAAAAGCCACTGGAAAGACATGAACAGACATTCACCTAAGAGGATATGCAGATGGCAAAAGAGCACATGAAATAATTTTCAGCATCATTAGCCATTATAGAAATGCAAATTAAAATGGGAATGAGATCACTACTCCCTTATCAGAATGACTAAATAAAGAATGATGACAAAACGGAACTTGGCAAGGATACGAAGAAACCAAACTCCTCGTCCCTTGCTGGTGGGACCGCTCATGGAGCAGCCACTCTGGACAACAGCATGGACCACCCTACGACCCAAGAGTCCTTGTGTGCAGGCCTCCCCCATGCGTCCACGGTGACCCTGGGATGTCACAGCTGCCCAGGGTCCCCAGGACTGTGAAGGGCAAAGTCCGCTGGTCCGAGTGGGGGAGGCAGCACCAAGCCTCCTCCAGTGCACTCGTCAGCTGCTGGAACTTGCCTTCCTCCACAACCAAGTGACACACAGTATCCCACAAAATCCAAACCACCACAGACCACTGACACACCGTAAGAACAGGTCACCTGACTGGCCTGCTGCCCTGCTGGGAAGGAGAAACCCTGATCCCAACAGTAGCTTGGGAAGTTTTCAAAAAGAACCTATGACCTGATGACTGATGGAAACTATGTGACGTACAGAGGCTAGACAGGAGAAAGAGAAATATTTCTATGTGTCTAAGAACGAGAAAATTAAAACCAAGATATAGCTTGCATGTATCTGGTTTTACTGTTATTAAAAAAATGAGAAAACACCACACATACACAAAAGCATATATGTAATTCTTAACTGGAAAGGAGAGGAGCAAACAACCAAATAAAAAAATATAAATTTATAATAAGCATGTCAAGGAAAATTTCAATCCTATTAGTAATTCAAGAATTACAAATTAAAACAATGAACTGTCCACGTTTAATCTATCACACTAAAATTTTTTCTTTTATATTTACTTAAAAATTTTTTTAAATAATGCCTCATAGCCACACAATGCTAATTATAAAATGCTTGGTACATTTTTTCCTACAATAACCTAGAAATACCTGAAGCTTAAACTTGTGACTCTATCTGAAACACAGAGACTCACTTTCCAGACACCGTCTCGGGATGCTTCCATACGTGTCCACAATGTGGGGGGAGCTGCTTACCGGTCCTCCCAGCCCCCGTGAAGAAGGGGACAGGGGCTGATCAGCTAGGAAATGTTACTCTCCAGCCAGGGGTTAGAAAGCTGTGACCCGTGTACCGCCCCACAAGGTAAAAATGTGTTTCTCATTTTTAAAGAGTTGCAAAAAAAAAAGGAGGAGGAAGAGAAGCAAGAGGACAGTGGACAGCTCATAGCCCACGTCACCACATGATGATGGACACATGGGCCGAGAAGGAACAGTGAACCCTCCCAGTGTCTACACAGCCAGGGGAAGATTAAAAACATGACAAGGGATGACTTTCATCCTAAGGACCACCTGAAATACAGGCAACACGAAATACCTAAATAATCAAAGTATCTGTGAAAGTTACACATTTCAAACACATTTCGCTTCCACAAGTCCAGCGCACACGAGATGAGGCGGCTCTTGCCAGTCATGCTAATTAACCATGAACCGTATGCAACACACGTGCCTATTCCTACCCTAAGTCAGTCACACTTTTTGAGTCAAAGGTCACTCAGGGACTTCTCCATCTTCTTTCACTCTGCACTGAGTGTTCTCACATTCAGAGTGATAGGACACACAAACTGACATAAATACATACCAGGGGCCATAACTGAGGTTTTCCCTGGGGAAAAAAAAAAAAGGACATGTACCAGGAGACTCTCGACATTTATGAGAGATCTATTTTAGAGATCCCTCAAAATACAGAAGTCCACAATTACCGTTCTCTCCTATCCACTCCTATGTATTTTCCAGATATAAAGAAAAACTCAGCAAAGGTGGAACAGGAAGTCTAGGAGCGCCTCTCCTCCTTCCCGAGTTTGCGACACAAGGCAAACTCCACTCCCTCCTAATCAAGAGGGTCTCTGCGCTTCAAAGGAGAAAGCCAAGTCAACAGGCTCACCTTGAAGGCCAGTAAACCATGACTGACTTTTAGTTTTCCAAAACAGCATCAGAAAACCTACTGGGGGCAAATCAGTCACTCAGAATGGGCTTGTCTATTCCCTGCGAAGTCCCCTGAGTGCCACACCAACAGAAAGTTCAGACCACCTGAAACCAATCATGTGCTAAAGCACCACAGAAACTATTCTGACATGCTTCCCAGTGATCCTTCAGAGGAATGAAGAACTTGTAAACAAATTCTCCACGTAGTAACCACACTAGGCATCACCAGCGAAAGCAAAGCGAGGGCCCAGTCAGGATGCTGCTCACCCCCAGAGCCGGCAGGCGCTGTGTGCAGCTCACGGCCACCTTCAGCTTCCAGTCGGTTTCACCATCTAGTTGATCCGTTCGAATAAAACATGAACCTTAGAAGGAGAGAAGAAAAATTCACCACTTTCGAATTGTGTTACTCCTGACCTGCAGTATCACCAGAGCACCATTCCAGGCACAGTGGGACACAGACGATAGATCTACATATTCTCAGGAACAAAATCCTTAAAGCCTTTATTTTAGATGACATAACTTGATTCACAGAATAACTCTGCTGAAAAGATACAGGTTGTTAAACGTTTTAATCAATCACTTATTTCCTACTTTGTGTTCTTACCTATTCAGGTTAAACCTTAAATAGTTCTTTTGGAAAGACTATATTAGTCATTTCTACCTTTAATCCATGTTTTAATAATGACAAAATAATAAGCAGACACACAACATACTCAAGACTGTGCAATGTTAACTTGATAACGAAATATCAGATTTATCACCATAAAACATGCTCAATAATGAAAGCAAAGCTAAAATGCTAAAATCCAGAAAAGAGCTATTACATACTTATAAGTTTATCAAATTTTAAATATGGAAAACTATTAAATTACAAAAATCCATTTCCTGTTTGACCACACTACCATCCTGCTCCTCAGGAAGGGACATGTACACAGGGCTGTCCATGACAGCATTGTTTGTAACTATAAAATTTACTGTAAAACAAAATGGAACCAAAAACTGGAGAACTAGTGGAATAAAACAAACCATATGCAGTAGTTAACAAGAAGGGGAAAAAAGAAAGACAAGAGAAGTTCAATATACTACTGCAGAGAGATTTCTAGGACAGCCAGGCAGAGCGCTGTGCCCACACGGCAGCACTTCGTGGTTAAGCACAAAGGAGGGGGAGAGAGAATCCATGTGTCTGTGTGTGTGTGCAGGGGCATTCCATGGTCGTGTGCCACATGCACACAGGGGTTTATGTGTGTGTGGACGTGGAGCTGAGTGCCTATGTGTATCTCTGTATTTGTGTATAGCTGGTCTGTATGTATGTACATTTTCTGTGTATCTGTGTGTACCACGTATCTTTACACATGCATCTGTGTGTGTGCAGTTGTGTACTTATCTGTATACATCTGTCTTGTGTGCATGTGTATTTGTACATGTATCTGTATGTGTGCACACATATCCCTGTGTGTCTATGAGAGCATCTGTACTACCTGTGTGTGCACATGTGTGTCTCATATGTGTGTGCCTATGTGTGTGCGGATGACACCTAGAGATGGAGGGAGGGAGCAGAAGGAAGTACACTCCTGTATTGCAGACTGGTTAGTGAAGACCCTGGCCACCCATAAACACCAATGAGTACAGTCCCAAGTTATGTCCATACTCTCTAGCCAAAGAAAACTTCCTAAGAAAGAAAACTTCCAGGCAGTGCCCGTGGCTCAGGGAGTAGGATGCTGGCCCCATATACCAAAGGTGGCAGGTTCAAACCTGGCCCTGGTCAAAAACTGCGCGCACACGCACACACACACACACACACACAATTTAAGAAAGAAAACTTCCAGGGGCTGGATATGGTGGTTCACATCAGTAATCCTAGCACTCTGGGAGGCCAAGGCAGGTGGACTGCCTGAGCTCACAGGATTGAGACCAGCCTGAGCCAGAGAGAGACCTCGTCTCTAACAATAGCCAGGCGTTGTGGCAGGAGCCTGTCATCCCAGCTACTTAAGAGGCTGAGGCAAGAGAATCACTTGAGCCCAAGAGTTGGAGGTTGATGTGAGCTGTGACATGACAGCACTCTATAGAGAGTGACCAAGTGAGACTCTATCTCAAGAAAAAAAAAAGAAAGAAAACTTCTAGATAACACCCACTCCACTTCATCAGAATACCAGGGTATAATGCTTGCAACATTGTAACTATAAACTTTTGTGACCCACTCCCTTCCCCTTCATAGGCACAGTGAGGAGCCATACCCAGCTCTCTGGGACCACTGTGGGGCCAGAGGAGCCTGCCCCATTTACCTGGGTCAGAGGTCTGATCAACTCCTGGGGGCACCTGTTGGTTTTTCCCAGCAGCCTGCCAAGTTCGTCAGGGTCCTGCTCTGACGGCTATTGAGTGGGGACAGCCCTACATTGTGCACACAGCCTCCCAGCCATGGAGGCTCCAAGCCTGGATCCTCCCAGTCATCCAGGATTCTCTGGGAAGCTTCTGGTGGGGCTGCTGTTTCCTCCCTTTGGACTGGTGGCCACCAAGCCCCCTAGTTCCTCAGCCATGTTTTCAGGCACACACTTGGCTCGGCTTTGTTTCAAACGAAGTCTACAGATAAATTTGCAGAGGTCTCAGTCCACAGGGCTGTCCCTGCCATGGCAAGAGCCTCTGGGCCACTGCTTTGGACTTGGGGCCAGGACAGCAGCAGCTTTATCAGAACTAACACCTGCTCTTGAAGCAACACTGGGAATGGCACTGTGATGGAAGCCCCTCTAGGAGTGTCCCCTTTGACCCACGAGTTAGCAGGATGCTCCAGTGACTGTTGGCCTGTCACCTGTGAGTGGGAGCTGAACAGCAGATGGGTGACCCACTGTCCAGGGACAAGCATCCCAGGAACAGGGTTTCTGTAACATGGGTCTGGAGAAAACAAGACAGCAGCCAGTCCCCCCAGTGATGCCAGACCGTGGGCTTAGCCTGGGAGCCTCAGGAAGGTGGAGCCAAGAAACCCTGGGCTACCTGCACATGGAACCAGCTCAGAGAGAGGCAATGGGTCACGGCTCAGCTGCCACAGGCACAGTTGGTTCTTACTGACAAAGGAGGGCTCTGAAAAATATCACAACTATTATTTTACTTCTAGAGACAGGGTCTTACTCTGTCACCCAAGCTGGAGTTAGGTGGCATTATCACAGCTCACTGTAGCCTCAGTTCCTAAGCTCCAGTAATCCTCCTGCCTCTTGAATAGCCAGTACTACAGGTGCCACCACCATGCCTGGCTTAAAACAATCGCTCTCAAAGATACATAACTGAACACTTAACTTTAGAGATTCTCTTCAGTGAAGAAAAAAGTCCTCTGGCTCGGCGCCTATAGCTCAACCGGTTAAGGCGCCAGCCACGTACACCTAAGGTGGCGGGTTCGAATCCCCAGCCCGGACCCGCCAAACAACAATGACGGCTGCAACCAAAAAATAGCCGGACGTTGTGGCGGGCGCCTGTGGTCCCAGCTACTTGGGAGGCTGAGGCAGGAGACTCGCTTGAGCCCAGGAGTTGGAGGTTGCTGTGAGCTGTAATGCCACGGCACTCTACCTAGGGGGACAGCTTGAGGCTGTCTCAAAAAAAAAAAAGTCCTCCATAGGTTTCCAACGAGGTTCATTCATGCTTGGCAACTCCCTGGAGACCTCTGTGGGTTTCACAACTGGAAGGAGGGTGGGGACGCTCCCAGACCTGGGGCATGGCAGCTCGGACACCCTCACACCCTGCAGTGGACAGACCCATCACGACCAGGCGCAGCTAGTGCTGGAGGCAGGAGCCCCAGTCTAGAGGTGCCACCCGAAGCCCGGCTCCCTCCACAAGGTCCTGGCCCACGCCCCATCTGCTTCCTTCACCCCAGCAAGCTTTAGCTTTTATCTGCACAACGTAGGCTCATCTTGGAGTTCTGCTGTAAAATCAATGAAAGCCTGCCACAAATGGCACATGCTGGGAATTCGTTAACTGGTAATTAATCAGTTCTCAGACATGAAGAAAGAGTTAAGGTAGGTAACATAAGAGCTCAGTCCAGGGCACCCCTCTCACAGCTGAGCCATCATAAAGTGGGTCCCTGCAAATGCCCACCTGGAGACCCCACCTCCCTGTGCCCCCAGGGAGCTGCTTCCGCTCCTGCTGCAGGTTTTCTTGCTGCTTTACTCCCCCAAAATATCAAATATTTTTCTTTCCCAGTAGATGTGTTTTCAACCAATCATAATAGCCAGCAATTCAGTCTAAAATATGTCCCCACTGTGCGACCACCTCACCTCATCCCTTTAACTACTTTGTATCCTGGGTATTATCCACTGTCAAGTTAACCTGGGAGAGTCAGAGAGGTCAACTTGCTTTTCTAAAGCATAGTAAGATTGAAAGCCAGGAAAAGATTCTCCAGTCACCTGCTTTACCAACTGAAGATATTTCTGAGACACCTTAGTCTCATCATAAACACTCTGAAAAATATACCTAATTATTTATTAAAAATGTATCTACTTATTAAACTTTGTTTATATTATTTATAAAAAGAATTAGCCAGATACAGTGGCTCAGGCCTATGATCTCAGGACTCTGGGAGCTTGAGCTTGAGCTCAGGAGTTTGAGACCAGCTTGAGCAAAAGTGAGACCTTGTCTCTACTAAAAACAGGAAAACTAGCAGGGCATGGTGGTGGGTGCTTATATATAGTCCCATCTACTAGGGAGGCTAAGGCAAGAGGATCACTTGAGCCCAAGAGTTTGAGGTTGCTGTGAGCTGTGACACCACAGCCTTCTACCCAGGAGAGAGCAGGAGACAGAGTCAGACTTCGTCTCAAAAAAATAAATAAATAAATAACTATGGCAAGGACAATACTGTGTACAAGCTCACTGGTTTCAGTTAAGAAGCAGTACGAAAAGCTTGCAGTGCATGTTATTGTAAAGTTACATCTTTTTTTCAAGATAAAATTTTACCTCTTAATATATTTTTGTGTATATAAACTCTGATATAAAAGTAACTGAAACTAAACTAGATCCTACACTCCACATGGCACACTGTGACATGCCAATGCCATTCACTTTGTTTTAGATTTGCTTTCTGTTATATGCAGCAAAAGTAGATGAAAATCTTCCTTCCACACCTGACAGGTGGACATATTCAGGACTGCTATACTGGCAGAGATTTAAAGATTTTTATTATAATAAACAATGTACTATATGGGTTTTATAAAACTGAACTGAAAACCAAAATAATTTTTTAAGTATTAGTAGATAGCAAAAACTTCTTAACTTGTATGGCCTCATAAATAAAAAAGCTTAAAATAATTACTGAAAATCACACAAAAAGAATTTCTAAAACTAAGAATTCTTTATTGAAAGCAATATTACCACATAAATTTTACACAACTTGAAATCTATTTGGTCCATTTTATAGAGAGAATAAAAACAGCATGAAAGGGCCCAGGCAAAGTGGCTCACACCTGTAATCCCAGCACTCTGGGAGGCCAAGGCAGGAGGAAAACTTAGGCCCAGGAATTTGAGACCAGCCTGAACAAGAGTGAGATCCTGTCTTTTTATTAAAATAAAAATTAGTCAGGCACCATGGCAGGCACCTGTAGTCCCAGCTACTCAGGATGCTGAGGCAGGAAGATTGCTTTAGCCCATAAGTCTGAGATTGCTGTGAATTATGATGACGCCTCAGCACTGTAGCCTGGGCGACAGAGTGACATGTCCACTGTCTTGAAAAAAAAAAAAAAACAAAGAAAGAACCATTGATTTCTTAATATGACAGAAAAAATAAAACTGAGCACTATACAGACACATGGTTAATATAAACTACAGCAAGGTGCTAACTTGGACCTGCCAATCACCTTCCAGGGATACGTGTGTGCACTGTGTATGTTTTTCTGTGGGACAAAGTGATAATTCTTAACCTGAAACCCTCAAAACAATAAGAGTCTCACAAAGAGTAACTCTCCCCGCTACAAGCCACACAAGGCAAGACCAGGGGCAGCCTTCTTTATCCCAGCCTCACACCAGAGGGCTCCTCACTCCTCCTGGCCTCGTCTTCTACTCAGGCTCTGCTCTTACTCTGCCCTCAAATGACGCGGGAAAGCATGGTCATGAGGCCAGAGGACTCCCAAGGCTGCGGTCAGCCAAGCTTAAGCAAGGCATTTGCACTCTCCAGCCCTCAGGCCCCTATGAAAAAAACAGATGACTATCTTTCACATGCTGAATTTTTGCTTGAGACATACCTTCTAATACAATCTACACAATCCTTTCAACTAATTACCCAAGATCATTTCAATATTTGGAATATTTTTAATCATACATAAATATATTTATACCACAATCATTAAAGAGGACATTAGTATAATAGCATCTCCCAAATTCAAATATTTTGTTATTCAAACATTTAGCTACAATGACCAAGAGAAAAAAGGTAAAGAGCCAACATATTAATACAGAATCAGGAACAAAAGAGGAGAAATCACCACCAAAACTGCAGAAATCATAAGGATTATGAGGGAACAAAGAATAGTTGCATGCCTACACATTTAGACAAGAGATAAAAAATAAACAAGTTCCCAGAAAGACACAAACTATCGAAACTGACTCAGGAAGAAACTGACAAGATGAAGACTTCTAACAAGTAAAAAAGCTGCTGAATTAGTGATGTAAAAAATAAAAATCTACCTCAAAGTAAAGTCCAGGCCCACATAGCTTCATGGGTGAATTCTAGCAAACATTTAAAAACGAATTAATAATTCTTTAGCAACTCTTCTAAAAAATAAGGGAGGGAAAACTAGTATTGCCCTGATAGCAAAACAAAAATAACACGATAAAAAACAAAAGCAGAACCATAAACCAATATATCCTGTATGAATTCAGATGCAAAACTCCTACCAGGACACTAACAACTGATACCCAGCAGCACGTGGAGGAGCTCTGCCCCCACGTGGAGGTATCTTCTGTAGGTGGCGTCTGCAGCTGAGATCCACAGGGGATGAGAATCTGAAGGGTTCCACAGTCCTCACAGCCCAGGCTCTGGGACACTCGCCACACAGAATATGCCCAGGATGCACACGGCGAACCTGAGGATGGCTGGCACACTGAACAGTCTTCCCACACGGCTGTGAAAAAGCCACACACACCTGTGCTGGCAAGTGACAGTGTCTGAACGTGAACACAGACACACTAAAAACAAAGGCCATCACCTGCACAGAGAGCTGGTAAGCGGTGTCCAAAACAAAGAGTGGTTCTTGGGGAAGACAAGCCTCCATAGCACAAGCCAACCTGTCTCACATTCAGTAGCCAGGAGGGCCACAGCATGGACCCCACCAGCAGCACAAGGAGCAGGGCGGTGCCTTCAAGAAGGGTCCAGGGTAGACATGGTACACGTGGTGGCCAGCAATCCTTTGCCAGCCCTCAATGACATGGCCCCACCCAACTGGACAGGAAAGGGGGTCTGGCTGTGTCTCTAAGAGGAAAGGGAAATGGGCTAGAGCAGCAGCAGCCAGTCTCACATCACACAGCACGTGGAGAGTCGGTGTGCCAATGCATGGGGCCACTGCAGTACTGGGTGCAGGTGTATTCTTCTGCTGCTGGCAGAATTTATCTTACAAAGTAAATAATCATAACTATTTTGGATAAAAGAGAAAACATTTTTCTTCTTACTCATGACTTAAAATGTCTTTTTAAAAAATATGTTATCATTGGGCGGTGCCTGTGGCTCAAAGGAGTAGGGTGCCAGCCCCATATACTGGAGGTGGTGGGTCCAAACCCAGCTCCAGCCAAAAACTGCAAAAAAAAAAAAATATATATATATATATATATATATGCCATCATTGAAGAAAAATTAAATCAACAACTTTAGGAAATCTAACTTAGTCCTTTCTAGGCTTTTCACATTAGAAATAATAATGTATATGCTAAGTTTCCAATAAAAAATAATAACACGCATCGCTTTCTATAAAAATATGGTTCATATATTCAACATATATGTTGGCCCTGCCATGGCCCTGCCGTCCTCCACGCACACGGCTCAGCGGCTATCCACCTCACAAACCTGCATCCTCCCTGTTGGACTAGACAGCCGTGGGAAGGAAGGAACGTGTCTTCCAATGCCTGGCACAAACAAAGTCAGAAATGCAGGGGAGAAGGAAATGGTGGACAGGGCTGGACACACTCCCTCCTCTCAAGGACAAGGAACACACATGCCCACGCCAGCAGGCCACAGACCTAGAGACCGCCCAGGCCACTCAGAGTGGGGTTCCTAATTTCTGGTATTTTTTTCTACTTAACAGCACGAGGCTCCCCTCCCACACCTCTCTGCCACCTTCCCCCTTTGCTGTTAAGTCTCCAAGGCACAATGGTCGGTCCCCACCCCAGCCCTAGCCTCCCTCCCACTGTCACAGCCCACAGTCACCACTGTGTGCACCTCCACCAGCTCCCGGAAGGCTGCTTCCTTCAGGGCCTTAAGCAAGAACTCGTGCTGCGTACATAGTAAATGTCAAACAACTACTTGCTGAACTCAAGAACAAAAATAGCAAATTTTAAGAAACACCATTTGATTAATTAGATTTCAATATTAATTTGAATAAAAGTATCTATTGGATACAGAGGTTCTGAAAGGATGAATTTTTAAGCAAATATACAGCAAATATCTTTTGAAATGTTAAAAATTACATGTGGTTTAGAAATGAGTGAATTTAATATATTACCAAAGAGAAATTTATAAGCATAAATTTTACTTTTGCCTTTTAAAATAAAAATTAAGCTGCCAAAATACTAAATCATCAATATAAAAAAAAATAAAAATACCTGCTTTTTCTGAAGTCCTAAGAAACACCATGTCTGATGGAATTCTTTGATTCTGCAAAGAGTAATATAAAATATTAATTATATCTATGCAGACTTAGAAGTTAACACAGTTCCACTGAAAAGTAGAAAAAGCCAGTAAAAACTAAAATAATGTCATAATTAAAATTTTTCTTAAATAACACTTATAAGTTATACATCAAAAATATTTTAATCCATATTTTACTTGAACTGCTAAACATTTTTTCCTACTGGTGAGCCAAGTAAACATTTAGGGATGACTTAGAAAAGACTTCAGTCTGGAAAATGTTAACTGCTGCCTGCCCGTGGCCCTGCTGTCCTCCACGCACACGGCTCAGCGGCTATCCACCTCACAAACCTGCATCCTCCCTGTTGGACTAGACAGCCGTGGGAAGGAAGGAACATGTCTCCCAATGCCTGGCACAAAGCATAACACACCCTGAGTCAGACACCACCTGGCAAAGCTGAGCCAGCAAACAGACACGTGACCGAGCAAACAAGCAGACAGGAACCCACAACCGTGAGGAGGAGAATCCCCCAGTCACCATCCTATACTTCATTACTGTCACTAATGAGCCTATCAACTGAGAAAGCTGCATCAACCTAAAAAGAAAATGTGCCATTGTAATAAGAACGTCACATAATTTCACAAATTGTGTGTGGTTTTTGAGACTTAAAAATTTATTTACACATGATAAAGAAATGGATAAGTAATGAAAACAAATATAAGTTATACAGGCTGAACAAAAGCTATGTTGTTGGGCAGAGCCATTTCTTCCCACCACTAAAAAAGGAGACCAGCTAAGACCTCCAGCAACATCCCCACCTTGTTTGGCACCAAGGACTGGTTTTGAGGAAGATGATTTTGCCACAGACTGGGACAGGGTGTGTGGGTGGGTGGGGACGGGGTGGAGGGATTCTGATGGTTTGGAGATGACTCAGGCACATCACCTTCATCATGTACTCTATTTCTATCAGTATTACACATTGTAACGTATAATGAAATAACTACAGAATCAGTGGGAGCCCTGAGCTTGTTTTCTTACATCTGGAAGGTCCCATCTGGGGGTGATGGGAGACAGTGATGCCTGACATGTGTTGCTTATGTCCAGTCTACTCTGTAATCTCAATGTGGCTATCGTCACTTCAGAAAACCCTACTTCACAGACAGGACGTTGGAAATGAAAGAGTCTTGTTGGTGCTTTTGTGGCACTCTCAGGATTTATCTTGACTGTATGTAACCCAGAACACAGGGAGATGTGCAGTCGCCTCAAATGTGCTTTTAAGGCCACGTCATTTGCAATCTAGCATGACAGTCTGTCTACCTAGCCTATTCAAGGTCATTGCAAGTAGATCACAGACCCATCCCTTCCCAGTTCGGGGGTCTCCTGTGGTTGGGCAGTGATGCTCCGACTCTGTTCACAGCTGGGACAGGTGACCATGCACTAGCTGGGAGGAAGAAGGCCCTGGCTCACTCCCTGTCAAAATCTCTGCTGACGTTTGAAACATGTCAAAAATCCCCAAGTCCAGCTCAGTGCCTGGAGCTCAGTGGGGAGGGTGCCAGCCATATACATCAGAGCTGGCAGATTTGAATCCAGCCCAGGCCTGCCAAACAACAATGACAACTACAACCAAAAAATAGGCAGGTGTTGTGGTGGGCACCTGTAGTCCCAGCTACTTGGGAGGCTGAGACAAGAGAATCGCTTAAGCCCAAGAATCTGACGTTGCTGTGAGCGGTGAGGACATGGCACTCTACTGGGAGCAACATAGGGAGACTAAGTCTCAAAAAAAAAAAAAAATTCCCATGTTGACTCATTGCCTCCATCATTCCAGTTTGGCTGTCAATACTTGAACATGGCTGTCATCCTCCCCTGAAGTGAGAGGCCAAGTTTGCTGAGCAGGATGAACACATCACAGAAGAAAGCAAGTTTGCCACTTATTCTGGGCCAGGGACATGTGCTGCCAGTGGCGAATGTTTTTCTGGAAGAAGTCCCTGGAGCAGCTCTCGTAGGTCAAACGCTCTGGCAGTGATCTCCCCTCTAGACAGTGGACTGTCCATCTCAGAGAGCTGTACCAACAGACATGAGTGAAGGGCAAGGCCTTTAATGTGGGTGACAATTTTAATCATGCCCTGTGAAACATGTTTAGTTCAGGTGGCATTTTCCGGTGAGCCAGCATCTCTCTGTGGACGATACCGTACACAAACTCACATCTAGAGGCAGCTCTCTGACCCCAGAAATAAACCAGACAGCCATCCAGGCTCGGCAGCCACTCCATCCCTGCGGCTATCTCCACAAATCACAACTCAGTTTTGCTGACGTGCAATCATTCGAAGCTTTGAGTAGCTTTGCAGCTGTGGTGCTGGTCGGCCACCGTCAGCATCGGCTATTTATTGCATAAATTAAAATTAACTCAAGGTGTGCTGTTCACTTTACACGTGTCCTAGAGTCTTCCCGCTGCTCTTCTGGTACTGACTTCTGACTGAGTTGTCAGGGGTGAGGACACTCTGCATGGCTCCCGCTCTTCCGTCTGCCTCACAGCATGTCTGGGGTCTGTCTTGGAGAGTGCCCTACATGTGCATGGCGTCAGGCAGCCCCCGCTGCATGTGGCAACTCTCACCTACTGAGTTCCAAATCTCAGTTAACAGGATGTTTCTCTTGGGTTGACTGTGAAGCTGGAGAAGGCAGCGAAGCTCCTATCCCTTCACCATCAGTCCACGGCTCCTCTCCACCCTCCCAAATCACTGCTCTCTGACATCCAAAGCACTGGTCCATAGGTGACTGGCACTTTTCTATTAAATATCCATAAAATCAACACTGATATACTAATTTTAATTTTATATTAACAGAATTAGAAGAGCCATCCTACGATATAAAGTCTAGATAGAAAATCTCAATATTAATTTCTAAATAGAAATATGATCAAATAAAAGAGAAAAACTTTCTGATTAGTGCTATCTGTTGCCAGAATTCTTAAATAAAAGGACGAACCATTTGCTACCAAATCTCTTATAGATCTCCATCACCCTGGGTGGAGAGCTGTGGCATCAAAGCTCCCAGCAACCTCAAATTTGGGGGCTCAAGTGATCCTCCTGCCTCAGTCTCGCAAGTAGCTGGGATGACAGGCACCCACCAGAACACCTGACTAGTTTTCCTATTTTTAGTAGAGACAGATCTCGCTCTTGCTCAGGCTGGTCTCAAACTCCTGAGCTCAGGTGATCCACTGCCTCAGCCTCCCAGAGTGCTGGCATTACAGGCATGAGCCACTGTGCCTAGCCTGCTAACCAAATCTTTGTTACTTTTTCATGAAGATTTTATCAAGCGGCAAGACAAAATTTTTTATCACCACAAACCACAAAATAGGTGTATCAGCCATCACGGACCTACTATAGATTGGGCATCCTTTACCCAAAATACGCAGAACCACAAGTGTTTCACATTTCAGATACTTTGGACTTGGGAATATTTGCACTGTAATTACCAGGTGAGCATGCCAAATCTGAAAATCCTAAATCTGAAATGCTCTAATAAACATTTCCTTTGAGAATTTTGTTGGTGCTCAAAGAATCTCAAATTTTGGAGCACTTCTGAGTTTGGATTTTTACATTTAGGATGCTCGACCTATACTCAACATTTATTATTTCACAGCAGTTATTGGAAATTATGTTTCTAATTTCTGAATATTCAGCTTTAGGTGAGTAAATGCATGGGAAAATTTTACACAAAAATGAGTATTAACCTAGCAACACAGAAAAGTGAATTGGCTGAGGGACACCACCACCCCTCAGTGTGGGACATCTCCTCAAGGTTAATTTAATGAACATAGTTTTAAATTCTCTTTCTTACCAAATCATTAATTTTTCAGGCTATGTACTTTAATTTGGGTGCAGGGCACCCACATGGTTCAGCCACAGCAGAACTGCAGCCCTCCCAGGACCCCGAGGGAGCTTGCATCAGCTGCCCTGGAGGCCTGGAGATGCCAGCGGCCTCACAAGGACTTGGAGCCAGAAGACCCAGTAACACCCTCCCCGGACAGCTGTATTATCCTAAAGAGAGGGCACTGACACGCACACACACCAAGAACACGCCCTGTCACACGGTGTGGGGACAAGGTGCTGCCTAGCACAGGCCACTCAGTTACACTGCAGACCCTGGGCAGCCCTGATGATCTCCAAGCCTGGTCTCTGCTGTTTTTCTCACAGATTCTTCCTATACTACCTAAACTTCTTTTCTAATGCTCTTTTACTGCTATTTACTTTTCCCTTTTTCAATTTTTAAGCCCTAAGAATGACATCCAAAAATGAACATAATATATTATTACCAATACTATATGTGTAATATAACCATAGCCAGCCCTCAGGATCCCTGGGCTCCACATTTAGGGGGATTCAACCAACCAAAAATTGAAAATATTTGAAAAAATAAAAATAATAAATAACGATATAACAGTAAAAACTATAAATTAAAAAATACAGTATAACAACTATTTACATAGCATTTAAGTAGTATTTGGTACTCTAAGTAATCTAGAGATGATCTGAAACATACGGGAGAGGGTGTATATGCATGTCCTATACAATCTTATACCAGGGACTTGACGTCACTGGATCATGACATCCTCAGGGCCCTTGAACCAGCCCCTATGGGTACTGGGGGCAGCTGCATCTGTACAAGGAAATCCTGACCAATGAAGATCGTGCCACAGACAGGCTCCCACACAGCTCTGCGGAATCCCAACCACTGAACCACTGTGCCACAGACAGGCTCTGATGCAGCTCTGTGGAATCCTGACCTCTGAAACACCACGCCACAGACAGGCTCTGATCCAGCTCTGTAGACATATGCGAAAACCCTGTTAATACATCATTAAGCAGCTACTGTGTACCTTATTTTAGACAAAATATAACTTTACTTGTGCACACTGAAAGCAAAACAGACAGCCTATCCAAAAACCTAGATTTTTCTTCACATACATCAAATCTTACACAAGGTTATTAAGATTTAAAATATATGTCTCAAACAATTTCCTTCAAATTCAAAAGATATACTTGCCATCAGGCTAAATGTCAATAATTGGTATGTATAGGTTTTAAATATATTAAAAATACGTCAACCTTTTCCACTATGATGAGGTCTCCAACTTGTATGTCTGAACTCTTAACTTGCACTTGACCTTCAAAAAAAAAAAAAAAAAAGAAGTATAATCAACTCAAGGAAACAATAGCATAACAAGAGTTTAACTTCCAATTGAAAAATAATTACTTCAGGAATAACTTTAGTGGAAAAAAACACTTCATAAATTTCTCTATACTTATACTTTTAGAATAAATTCCAGCTCGACAGTAACTGGTAATTAACTTCTCTTAGTAAACATCCAAGCACAAATAAATAACTACTCCCAGTGAAAGGACAAAACAAGAATTTCTTCATAATTAAGAGATTCCAACAGGAATGATCTTCCCATACTTTGTCATTGTTTCGGTTCACAGTCAAGTCAACAATAATCAGAAATATTACTACAAATTGGAGGATTGAAACTTAATAATATGAAAACATAAAAATCCCCACATTAACATCCTAAGTGGCATAATCAGCCTATAACTGACAGAAGACATAAAGCAAATGACGCACACAATCTCTCTCGAGTTGCCTCACTAAAACAGGACAGGACTGAAAATGAATTATCTAAAGTGGCAGCTCTCAACCTGGGGGTCGTGACCACAGGAACTGTATTAAAGGGTTGCGATATCAGGAAGCTTGAGAACCACTGATCTAAAGCTTTATTACCAAAAATGATTCTTCTACATAAGTTACTAAGGGAATATTAAATTATCTCTGTAATAGCTAACGTAGAATAAAGTGAGTCACTGTCATAATGGCGTAGAGGCTATAACTATGAAAACATATCTGCTAGACAGAGACTGACCAACAAACACACACACAGGTGTAAGAACAGGAGGTAATTAAGCAACTTCTTAAAAAGGAACTGGTCACACAAGCAGATTCTAGAAGGCCAGCACCATGTCAGCAGGCGTGCTGCCTGGCGGGCGGCCAGCCACCTGCTTCTCCATGTGAACTGAGACTCCCACATCCACTCTCACTCAAAGAGGAGAGAGTCAGGAGTGTCATTTGCACATGAACAAATGAAGACAAGTCAAGTGGCTTCTAGCCTACTGAAGAGCTAAGGAGCAAGACAACTTCATGAACTGAAACCCCAACCACAATAGGCCTCTCTAGGCTGGGAGGGAACTCAGAAGAGGAAGCAGACAAGGGGAAGATGGAAACAAGCAAGCTCTTCCCAGCTTCTGAAAGCAGGGGAGGTCTGCACACGCATGTACTAATTTAGAAAAAGATCCAAGAGCCAGACAAAGGAGAACCTGCCCTTGTCTACCAGCTCTCCAGCATGGGCCTTCACCAAGTATCAGAAGGCAGAATGGAGGCTGGGCAGGCCAGTAGGTCCTTGGCCCGGACAGGCTCCCTGAGAGAGCCAGCAGAACTCACTGCCCTTCCTTCCAAGAGCAGCGCGCCAGAGGCCTCACCATAGCAAGGATGCCTCAACTTGCCAGAAGTAAAGAATTACCACTGAATGTATTTGCATGTGACATAACTGCCTATGTAGAAAATTCTAAAAATCTACAGAAAGGCTCCTAGACAGAAAAGATTTGGAAATTTCATAGGAAACAAAGATAAAATGTGAAAATCAGGCTTGGCGCCTATAGCTCAACCGGCTAAGGCGCCAGTCACGTACACCTAAGGTGGTGGGTTCAAATCCCCAGCCTGGACCCGCCAAAACAACAATGACGGCTGCAACCAAAAAATAGCCGGGCGTTGTGGCGGGCGCCTGTGGTCCCAGCTACTTGGGAGGCGGAGGCACGAGACTCGCTTGAGCCCAGGAGTTGGAGGTTGCTGTGAGCTGTAATGCCATGGCATTCTACCCAGGGGGACAGCTTGAGGCTCTCTGTCTCAAAAAAAAAAAAAAAAAAAAGTGAAAATCAACTGTGCTTCTATATGTTAACAATGAATGACTAGTAAACGTAATTAAGAAACAATACCAATTATAGTAACACACAAAGCAGAGTACTAAGAAACGAATGTGGCAAAAGGACAGGCGACGTCTACACAGAAAACCACACAATACTGATGAAATTAAAGACCATTCTCCCAAACTCAACTACAGATTCAATAAAATCCAATCAAAATTTGAGAACAATATTTTTAAAAAACTGATAAAATAGATTCAAGGAAAAAACATAGGATTTAAAATAACCAAAACAACATTAAAAGGTAAAAACAAAGCCAGACACGCTCCAGCACCAGGCAGAGTGGTGACAAGACAGACAGATGCGTCAGGAGGAGAGAGAGGCGCTCAGGAAGGCAGACTCACACCTGTGTCTGACGCAATGGGGAGACAGAAAGGCTCGGGGCCCTTGGCCCAGCTCCTGTGCACTAATTCGGAGGGATTTATTTGGATATAAATCCTAAAACAATAAGGCTTTTAGATGAAAACATAAAAGTCTATCTCTACAGCCTCTGTGTAGAGAACTTTCATAGGAAGGACACAGAAAGTGCTAACCATCTAAGAAAATACTGATGAGTAAGACTTCCTCACAGTTTAAAACTTCTCCTTCCACAAGACATAATGAACACGAACAGATATTCACAACAAATACATCTGACAAAAGACTGATGTCTGGAATATGCAACAGGAGCCCCACAGCACAGCACCTACAACAAACCCACAGCTTAACAACATACTGAATGGAGTAAAATTGAAAGCTTTTCCACTTAGAACTAGATCCAGGCAAGAATCACCATTACTGCTCAACATAGTGGTAGAAGTTCTAGCCACTGGATACAGACAAGAGAAAGATATAAGAGGCATCCGATCGGTGGCAGAGGAGGTCAAACCTCGCTCTTTGCTAACAATACCATCTTATGAGAACCCCATAGACTCAACCACAGACTCCTGGAAGTGATCAAGAAACACAGTAACATCTCAGGGTATATAATCAATGTCCACAAATCAGTAGCCTTTATATGCCAATTACAGCCAAGTCAAGAAGCTAATCTAAGATAACGTAATTCCCTTCACAGTATCTTCAAAGAAAATCAAATACCTACCAACATAACAAAAGAGGTGGATTCTCTACAAAGAGAATTATGAGAACCTAAGAAAAGAAATAGCTGAGTACATTAACAAATGAAAAGATATACCATGCTCTTGGCTGGGAAGAATCAACATTGTTAAATGTGTATGCTACCCAAATCAATCTACAGATTCAAAGCAATCCCCATTAAAATACCAACATCATTCCTTGAAGAACTGGAATAACAGTCCTTCATTTCATATGGAACCAGAAAAAATTCCATACAGCCAAGGCAATTTTTAGTGATAAAAACAAAACTGGAGGCATCACCCTACCAGACTTCAGGATATATTACAAGTCCACAGTGATCAAAACACAATGGTAAGGGCAAAAAAAGAGACAAAAGACATTTGGAATCAAATAGAAAACCAGAGAACCAGTCTCTTATTGCCGTCTGATTCTTGATAAACCAAACAAAAGCATACACTGGGGAAAAGAACCCTCATTCAATAAATGGTGCTGGAGAACTTGATAACCACATGTAAAAGACTGAAACTGCACCCGCACCTTTCACCACTTACAAAAATTGATTCAAGATGGATAAAAGATTTAAATCTAAGGCAGGAAAGGATAAAAATCCTAGAAGAAAGTGTGGGGAAAAACACTTGATGATGTTGGAGTAGGGAAAGATTTTATAAAGAAGACTTCTGTGGCAATTGCAACCACAAAAATAACGGGGGAAAAAAACAAAGAAAAACAAATAAGACTGGGCGGCGCCTGTGGCTCAAAGGAGTAGGGCTCTGGCCCCATACACCAAAGGCGGTGGGTTCAAACCTGGCCCTGGCCAAAAACTGCAAAAAAGCTTCTGCACAGCTAAGTATACAACAATCAAAGCAAACAGACAACCTTCAAAATAGTAAAAGATATTTGCATGTTATGAATCTGACAAAGGCTTGATAACTAGAACCTATAGAGAACTCAAATTAATCAACAAAAAAAGAACAAACAATCCCATCTATCACTAGGCAAGAGACACGAATAGAACCTTCTCTGAGGATGACAGATGAATGGCTAACAAACATGAAAAAAATGCTCCTCATCCCCAATCATCAGAAAAATGCACCTCAAGATATTATCTAATCCCAGTAAGATTAGCCCACATCACAAAGTGACAAAGCTGCAGATACTGGCGTGGATATGGAGAGAATGGAACAATTTTACACTCTCGGTGGGACTGCAAACTATTATAGCCTCTTTGGAAAGAAGTATGGAAAAATCCTCAAAGAACTCAAATCAGACTTTCCATTTGATCCCACAATCCCAATAGTAGGCATCTATCCAGAAGAAAAAATATCACTTTATCATAAAGACATTTGCACTACATAGATTATTGCAGCTCAATTTACAATCGCCAAGATGTGGAAACGACGTAAATGCCTATCAACTCAGGAATGGATTAACAAACTGTGCTATATGGATACCATGGAATACTATTGATACCATGATACTATTCAGCCATAAACAGATGTAGATTTTACATCTTTTGCATGAACCTAGATGGAGGTGAAACATATTCTTCTTAGTAAAGTATAACAAGAATGAAAAACAATTATTCAACATACTCAATACTAATATGAAGCCAGTAGATGCTCTAATACACGTCCACATAAGAGGAAAAACTCAATTCAAGTTGGGAGGATGGCAAATGAGGGGGAGGATAAAGGAGGGAATTTGGGGTACACACACTTAATGGGCACTATGTAGGGGTGTATGGCACACCTATAGGGTGCAAGACACAACTGTAAGAGGGACTCTACCTAATAAATTCATATATTGTGACTTTGTTGTTTGAACTCTCACATTAACTTGAAAAAAAAACTTAAAAGAAAAAGAATTAGATATGGACTTTGGAACATTTTTAAAATAAAAATATATAAAAAGGCCAAGATTAACAAGGTGATGGGGTGCAGTGGTTCACGTCTATAATCCCAGCACTTTGGAGCGCACAGTTGTATAATCGTGTTAGGCTGGGAATTTAAGACTTGTCTCCACCAAAAAAATAAAAATGAACAGGCAGGTGTCACAA